AGGTGATGGTTGAAGAATTTTTGCTTGCGCTTTGTTGTCATTAGGAGCAGTCAGTAGTTGCTTTGTTGTAAGCCAACAAATTTTCTATAATGGGGCACGTAGGTAGGAGCGTCTAGACAACACGAGTAAACGGAATGTAATGGGGTGTGTTGAAGTGAGAGAGTAGAACGAGACACGAGTGTGCTATCTACTGGGAGGGACCTCAGCCACCATGACCTTTGCTGTTAACCATGACACCTTATCCACCTTGAAGTTGCGGTAATGTTTCAACGCTGTTCGCGGTAATGTTTAGGTTATCTGCAGGAGACCCGCGTCGAGGGTACAAAGAGGATCTGTGCGTGATGTGGTCGGGACGTGTTTTGTCACGCTGCATGTCTGTTTGTGCGTGGCTCGTGACATGTGACTGCTGCTTGTAGCTCTGTGAGCCGGCAACGCAATGGCGAAATTTTGATCAGGCGTCGGTAAATCCCATCACAAGTTGACCGCATTGTCAATCACACTGTTTTTACGTATGACGAAGACAAGAGAAGAGCCGAGTTTCCCCCGCCCTTTGATAGAGGCAACAGTTGTTTCCGCTTTCCTCCCTCTTCCCCTTCTCGTGAAATTATCACTGATAGAAAAAAAGGTTTTTTTTTTTTTTTTTTTTTTTTATGGTTAGAATTTCAAAGTTGACTTACTTGTGAAGTGATGCGTGACTTGTCACTAGGCCTGAACCCAATGTAGGCGTAAACAGTCCTTTAGGCGCCATTTAAATTTGTTAATGTATTTTTCCGACATTTCATCTGCCATACTGTCACTGAAACGCGGTTGATTTACTTCTTTTTTTCTATCAATTTTCCTAATTATCGACTTACTATCTTTTGACATCAGCTTTAGGTGACAAGGCGCCTTACCCAGTGACGTAAAGAAAAAAACGCCCGAATTTTCCTTTTTTTCTTAAATTTTAAGCATTTTTTAGCCTAAAATCTCACTCAGCTTTTAATCATGACACCCACTAGCTTATCGATTAGAAGCGTTCCTCGCCAGACAGTTTATCGATTTTCCGATCGTGTTTCAGTTCCCCACTTAAAAAATCAATATTCGCCTTATCCCTTAGCAAATTTGCTATCACGGAGTTACTGATGTAAAAAGGATAAAGTGCTTCAGGATTCTCAGAGCGATAACTTACTTTACTACTTCAATCTCTCTAATTTTTCTCACGCGGTCATTACCAAAAAACAGCTGCTGTGTGTCCCACTCACCCCATTTATGGTGCTTTCGGCGATGGGTAACTGGCGTTCACCCCCTTTCGCCCCATTACCTTTGCTGCATTAAGCTGTATCACCCGTCCCGGGCTTCTCAATTCGCAGCTGATTTAATTTAGCTAAGTGTGCATTGTTTGAAGGAAGGGAGGGGGAGCAGTAGAGCCGTAAGCTATGCAGGTCACTCCCGGATTACACACATTGGTGTAGCAGTGCCCTTCTCTCATGAATAACATGGTGATGGTGTTAACAAAGGCGGATGAGAAGATTGGGTACGGAGCTGAAAGAGTTGAGGCTGGCGTTCCGCGGACGCCCGACGACGCCTGATCACAGATGCACGCCCCAGCGTCAGGTGGCACCACGTTGGTGAGATCTCCCTCCCCAATCAGAGTGTGGGCGGGGCTGTAAGAGCCAATTAAATGCAGGGGAAGTATGCACGTACGCACGCATATGAGTAACCAATACGAGTGATGCGTCATACACTCGCTGTACAAACGACCATCGTCGTCGTCCGTTGCGCGCCACTTTGGCATTTGAAAGTGGTCCCTAAGCTGTTCTTTTACTTTTCCTTAATTTCACCTAAATGGCCAAATTTTAGTAAGTTTCAATGATTATGAAGATCTCTTTTGACCTCACCTTTGCTAGGTAACACAGACTATTTAACTTCCCTCGAAGACTGATGAAGAGGGTGGGTGGAATGACAGCACTTATCACATGGTGATTATGCAAAACGCCTCGCGAGGGTTTTTCCGCATGCTTACATCACAGACGGTAATCAGAAGTCCTGTTTAATTGAACCCAATCGCTGCGGTCGGTTGACCGCCAAGTTTGGTAAATAAAGTGTTAATCTATTTTCTGTGTTGCTTCGATCAGCACCGTCCCGTTTCTTTGCCAATTTGAGGCGGACGGGGGATTTCCCGTCTCTACGTTTGTGACTAGGCTGATTCGATTCTGTCATTTAAAGTTGAGAACAGAGTCGCGCTGCGTGATGATTGAGGCCTCAAAGTTACCGCGGTGCGAGGTGCTGCCCTGGCAGGCACCGCCAACGCCGCTGCAGGTCGATGCCTGCACTCAGGTGGCCTACTTGTGCCCTTAACATTGGAGAAATCGCTATGGCTTCGTGTGGTTGGCTCGCCTGTCAGCAAGAAAGCAAATGTTGGGCCCTAACCGGGTGATACGTGGCTCCAGTGGAAAGATCAATTTCAGAACGGTTAATTTGCCCCTCCCTCAAAAACTCCCCAGCAGAAAGTGCTACCACCTTCTCGGGTTACTCCTTCTAAGAGCTCTCCAGAAGCCTCTAGGCGATAGAGCGCTCAGATTACCCCCTCCACACGACTACGTGCTTGCCCAGAAGGAAAGTGGAAACCCCGAAGTTATTAGTAAAGCCGATATGATTGGATGTGCACCTTAACAGGTATTCGTTGTTGTTGTTGTTGTTGTCCAATTAGTAAAAATAACACGAGTCATTATTATCACCCTCACCATAGTGACAAGTGACAATAAATCACTTCAAAGGCGGTAACTGCGAAGGACAGGAGTGCAGGTAGTCATCAGCTGAACGCATCGCTGTCATTGGAATGTCCAAGGCTTTGTTCTCTCGATAGTGCATCAGAATGTCCCTGTCCAAGGGGCAGGTGACAGTGAATGCCGTGGTCTCGTACATACTTTGGACGTAGCGCCAGATGTTGACCAAGTCCATTGGAATGTCCCATTGTTTACAGGCACGCAGTAAAACTCGCATCACCTGCAGTTTTGGCATCAACATACAATCGGCGAACGTTAGCTTCTCTCCCAGTAGGTATCGCGTCTTCTGGGTTTGTAGGTAATCCTCCAATCGTTTCAAGGCGTTCAGTAGTGGACTCTCTACGCCATTCCGGATGAAGTTAAGCACATTCTTATAGACATCGATAAAGGCGTGGGTTGCCTCCAACACCTCCTTTGACTCAAAAGGGAGGGCAAGTTGAGGACACTGGAACTTGGCGAGGAGGGCTTCCAATTCGTCTGGTGTGGAAGCAGCCAGTTGAAGATCGGGCAGAAAAGCAGCAGGAAGACGTTTAGAACAGTGAAGACACTTGTAGTCCTCCGGTTCGTTGTCGTAGGAGATGGGCACCACCTCAAGGCGAATAAGATCCATCTCTACCATGTAGCGGAAGACCATTAGCCATTGATGACAAATGAGGCAAGCACCAACGGTGTTCCGATCAGTGATTGAGGCACGAACAAAGAGACGAACCTCTGGTTGACCCTGAAGCTGACGAAGGCGTTCCTGAAACTCAGCTGTCTACAAAGAAAAGAAAGCGACTAATCAGGGCAACTGTCCTCCTACCACAGAGTTGTGAACATTCCGAAACGTCAACATCAAAGCCTATAAATGCCGGCTGGGTTAGGTTATCGGTGAAATTTGACGATGACAGGAGTAGGCAACAGCAACAGAATTGACCTGACCATATCATCTGTTTGATAATTTAAATCTAACTGTCGAAACAAAAAAAGAAGTAGGGGTCGCAACTTCTTCAGGCCATAAAGATCTTGGTCATGACGTTAATGAAGCAAAAACGAAGTGGACATAATCAATCATGAAACGGTGATTTTGACACTTCAAAAAAAGACACTTAGTATAATGAAGAATATCCACATAAAAGAAATTTAATCAAATCCAAAAGTTGAAAACCGGAGAAAAACGATAAACTTAGATGGCATTAAAAACCAGTTTAAAGGCTAAAACTCAAGGTAAACGGCTGCAAATGAATCAGATGCAAATAGGGAGGGTTAAACAAAAGACCGGGAAACCAAGAGCGCAAACGTAGTAGGAAAAAAAGAAAGATAACTCGCTTCGTATAAATCCAACTCATACTAAGAAAACAGTCAAAGTAAAAATGGCTTCGAACAAGAGAATGAAAAAAATAAGCAAAACCAGCAACTCCACCGTTTACATGGTTTCGCTACTGTTCATTTGGCAAGACCGCAATCTACTTTCAGCTATAATCAAAGGAAATGATTTTGAGAAAGGTAAGGGGTGCCAAATCTAAAATTGACGAACTTACAGTGACAGACATGGCAGAGACACAAACGCAACAACAAGAAAGTGGCCGCCACACGAACTCGATAACCTTGTGAATTATCCACTGCTTTAAAGGTGTGTGGTTGGTATGACAACAAGAGTAAGGAAAACCACCTAATTTTAAAAACCAAAAAAACTATTCTAAAATAAAGAATGCCTTTTAAAAAATTATTAAAAAACCTAGATTTTTGAAAAATCAGCAATGAGAAAGTTACCAAAAACTTCTTTCCAAAAAACGCAGAATACTTACCAGTAAATGGCAGTTAAGTCTCCTAAGGGGTGCAACCCTTTTTTATTTCTACCGCAGGAATTAGGTATTTGGCTAAAAAGCGCCATTCAAATAGCTTAAGAACTCCAAACTGCTTTGCTTTTGCTTTTAATGGACGAAAATTTGAGCAAGCATAATTTTTTAGAACAGAACATTTTGCGACGACTAAAATCTATCCAATTAAGTTGAGATGAAGTGAAAATTGTGCCGTCTTTTAATAGTGAGTAGTGCAGAAATAACCAGTATCGGCTTTTGTAGAGTAACTGGAAGGAATTCAAATTGTACCCTTAGAAGTTTGTGATTTTATCAGTGGCTAAATTGCAACTCTCTGAACAAAAGATATATTTGAGGTTTTTTCGAGAACTGGATCGTTCCAGCTTCGACCTTCGTCAATTTTTTAATTGGCTTTTTTAGACGACCGCGCGGTATTTGGATAGTGGTACTAGTGGTTAAAATTGTCGCTTACTTAGTCATAACTTTAATGTGTGGCATGAAAGTGGGAACGTCTGTGATGCAACTATGTGTAAAAATTTGCGTTTTTTATGGCAACGCGCTAGGTGACACAGGTTGCGTTAGTAATGAAACGACTTTTCATTTCAGCCCGGAACTGATTAATTTCATCAAATGTTCATCAATCCTAAATTAAGACCTACTTTTTCCTCATCATTCATTAGTCTATTGATCAACTTCTAAGGTCAGTCACCCCTTCTTTCAGTCATCGATTAATTGATTACTTCATTCAGTCATTGATTTATTCACTTAATTACACAATCATCAATTTATTCGTTTAGTCATCCTCTCTCCCTTCCTTTTATTCGACCTTACTGCCTTTTTCCCCTTTATTTATTCTTCGCTTTATCTGGCCATTCATTCTTTAAACAGTTGATTTGTTGTTCAAATGTGTTACTCAAAGGGATGCGTTAAAGAAAATCAATAAAAAAAGGAAAAAAAACTCAAAAGTGCCTTCTTAGCAAGGCTTCAACACTTGTCGAGGCCCTTGCATCAATTTTGCTACTTTATTATGACCACTGTAGGCGAGGCCACGATGAACGCGCCTTGACATGTCAACAGTTCTTGCCGATTGGTGCACAGGAGTCGTCACCCATGAGTGATGGAGGTTACAGCGCTTTTGGTAGGCAGAGGGTATTTCTGTATGCATACCGCGAGTCCACCGCTTTTTTTGTATGCTGCATGTTTGATCGTCACGGCGCCGAGCTCTGCACCTTCCTCCACCTCCAACGGATACACACCTAAGAGTGAAGACAAATGGACACACGTGCATATGTGTGTGTGTGTGTTTGGTAAGAGGTAGAGGCTTTATACTGACAGAGGCGTCGTCTCGAGGGTTGTCAATTCAACGACACCATCACGTCACATACGTATGTGTGGTAAGCTAAGCAGATGTTCATTGGAGCACACATACGCACACATTTTGACAGTACGAGGCTAATGGCGGTAACTCTGATAGATGGCCAACTGAACACCAGTGTTTACGTTGAAATTAGTGAGTCGTTACGACGCGATAACCGATGTCTGCAGGCTACACCAGGTGATCCAAACTTCCTTTGCACTTTGCAATAATAGCGCCACCGTTTCTCTTAAAACTAAACCTCGTTTGGTGGGACGAAGGTGTGGCTATTTAGCACAAGCATAGAGAATGCTAGCTGGTCTTCTGAAAAGAACATCTCATCCTCAAAAGTAGCATGCTGGTCGGAAGGGCTAATCATGTGCACTAATTAACTGAGTAACAGCGTTTAGCCTAGCTAGTGTCTACTGTTTCAGACGCCCTCAAATTGGCCCTTGCAACGGCGGCATGGAACTCTAAGTAGGTAGTCAGCCCGCCTCAAGGTGTACCTCAGGATATCACCAGTAGGATGTATCGTACAATGTCTACTCCCAGTGTTGAATAGAGTGATACTCGTCAGAGGAAATGCATCAGCTATGTCTTCGAAGGGCCGAGGAATTCATGCCAACCTAAAAAGATCCAGGGTTCCAGGCAAGAAGAGAGTTGTACATACTATTCATATCTTCGAGGCTTCTTAAATCATCAGCCTCCTGATTATTCTATGCTTCTATAAAAAGACAAATGTGCTACAATCAAATTTTTGTACCTCTTTAAAGGTGAGTAAGAGTTAATTTTCGAATGATGGAGATCCCTCCATCGATGACAACCTTTCAACCAATCAAATAGAAGAAATGTCCCATTTGGACAGCCGTAATTGGCTAGTGGGAGGTGAGCCAATGAATACGCTCATCCAAACAGCGGAAATCAATCTAAATTTCAAAATGGAAACAGGTCAACTAATTCACATGAGTCATCTTTTTCGTCCACACGAAAGCTCATTCCACTGTGCAAAATCCTCCCCTGCACTGAATTTTTACTTTTCAAATATGGTCATATATACTACTGATAATTAGCGCGGCAAGCGAGCTACTGTTAAGGTCACAGAACATTCTAGAGGGGAGTTCTCTTGCCTTCGACCAATCAACGACGGCTGCTGTTTAATCGCACCTAGTCCCGCGTTGAAGTTACCCTCACGTAAGCAGCTAGCGCTGGCCTGATGTGGACGTGTTCAAACTGGAAGCCGGCAGGTCAGAATTGGTACTTCGCGCGCCTAAACAAAATACCGCAGATTTTGCATCAAGAAAGCCTGTGATGGTGGCATTTGCATGGGTTAAAAGGATCCACCGCCTCCACCGTCTTGACGCTTGTTTGTTTTTTTTCTCCGATGAAGGTGGTCACAATAGAATGGCGTGATTTTGTCACCTCCACGCAAGTCCGTCCTCTTCTAGGTGGGGACGTTTGTCGGGGAGGGAGCGACTATTGAGTGCTCACTGCCACCGCTAAATTTATGGCAGTAAAAAGTATGCAATCATTGATTCGGAATGTTTACAATCATCGCTACAAAGCGCCTCAGAAGAATACCGATGGCTCTTTGTTGGTTTCAAAAGGACACTGACCCGAATGTTACCGCTTGTCAAGCTACAAATCCAACATTTCGTGTTACAGCATTAAATGGTGCAATAAACTGTCACATGTCGCCGGGTTGGAATTTCGAGCTCAGGTGAGCCTACTGGGGTGTCACATATGCGACACTGTTCGGAATTCACGTGGTCTCCATCAGAAGTCGATGGTAGAGCCGAGGTGAGTGTGCCTTGTTGACCTTTAAAGCTCTCACCACCATATCATGGTGATTACACCACAGAGAGCAGATGGATGACATCTATGAAGACCCCGGGCCCTCCTCCACTCTCATGCTTGCTTATCCAAGGCTAGAAGAGGGGCGTAGCTGCTACTGGCTACAAATAACACCAGGCAGAACGTCTTTTTTGTTGCTTTAGCTCTGGGCCCCCCAGTTAGGCGCTACCATCAGTCGGTGTGTGTATATCAATGCAGTGAAGTTGTTTATCCTCACCACAAGTGCGCGATTTAAGAGGAAGGGGGTAGTAAGCACCGGCTTCTCCTCCGCCTCCCTCTGTGAATTTGATAGGGTAAACAAGGCGCAGGTGACGCGCCTGTCAGCTGGCTTCTCCGGGGACACACGGTATCCAGCCACAGGAAAATAAACGAAGACGGGTCAAATTGTCCGGAAAGAAAAATGAGTCATAGACTAAAATGCAGTACCGACGATTTGACTGTCCCCTCGTCTATGCCACCGAGACGACCTCATAGGATCGCCCTCTTTTGTGTGTGACGTGACACTATTTATGCTAATCAGGAAAGCACAAGGCGGGATCATTAGGTGTGTGTGCCTGTGCATAGGTATGAGTGCTTGGATTAGTGGGGAAATATTCTAACAATCTTAACTTAGAGAACTCATGAGAAACCATAAGAGGGAGTGCAATGCCTCCGGTGATCAATCGACCTCCGAGACTGTGAAAGTGAAGGTATCCAAGGCGTACTTCTGATAGCGTCGTCGCCATTTTGTGGTGGATGTCATTTCGCTCAGATACTGGGATGGAGGCCACAATAGACCCGCAGACACGGAGAAGTTCAAGGACAATGCCCCGATAAGAGGGGGCTCAGCATAGGCTGTCCCGCTAGTGGTCTACCTAGTTTATGCATTAATTGCCGTCGCTCGGCGTAATCCCCGGTTTTATGCTATTGTTTATCCACATCGAATAGCGCTTAAAATTGATGGGTGCGATTTCACCTTATATGCGTTAAAAAGCATGCGTTGCCAGAACCACAGGGATAGATACATCACGGTAAGGAAGACTCCCTCTTCCAGGTCGAAATAGCTGGGGAGTGATACGTGAGGCAGGTGAGTTGACGACTGCACCAACATCACTCGGAAAGGGACAGTTGAGGCGGAAGCACATCCCACGTGACTTAACAGCACATGACAACGTGACACACTCGTTTACTACCTGAAGGCGAAGCACTGATTAGGTCTGAGATCCATCCACTCGATACTGTGAGGTATAACTCGCACATATGCCGGACAGCATTGAGGGAGAGACAGTCCTATCCCCATGACCCAAAACTTATCCAGGAGATGGAGTGCACTTCAGGGAATAGGGGGGAGGAGACACCACCTCACCTTAGCCTTCCCCCCCCTCACAACGATGGCATACCTCCAATATCTGGCTGCTGTGTCATGATGGCCACCATGCCGTGACCCCAGACGACTACACGACTACATACGGCAGATGATGAAACGCCAGTGAATGACGTCCCCACGAGAGGCGCCTGTAGGATGCTTACCTTGTACTTCCGACCCGCCTTCACTGTCCTAACTCAGTCAGGTGGGATGGAGAAAACTCGTCAGTTTTGTCAGATCCCCAAAATCTAAGTGTCTAACCTCACAACCGGTTGTCAAAAAATAAACCAACAGAACAGAGCAAAAGAAGAAGACAAACATTCGGAAGAAAATAACAGGGTTTCCAGCCACTTTTTTGATGAGTAAAACACAAGGCACTCAATTTATTCCAATTGAGCAAACATCTCTGAAAGACTTCGAAGTAGAAGACGATGAAGAAGAAGACATACCACCAACATCGAAGTCTCAGGAATGCATGGACGGGGCGGGAACACCACTTTTGTACAGTCTGATTACCTAGTCAATTAGACAGAGAAGACAAGGCACAGTCTAGGACTTTTGTTGTTGCTGTCCCTTTAAATGTTGCCTCGCATGCCAAGCACAGGCGTATTTGCAGGTGAACGGTTTCTCACAGACCGCACACTGGAACCGCAAACCGGTGTGTGAGTTCATGTGTCGACGAACCTGATAGGCGGAGAAGAATTCCTTGTGACAGATGTCACATTTAAAGAATCTCTGCCCCGTGTGCACATAGTAATGCCGGGTCAGATTGCCTAACCACTTGAAAGGTTTACTGCAGACTGGACAGAAGTAGGTAAGTTGACCGTCAACTAGTTGGGTCGGTACATCGCCCTTCTTCCAGACATCCTTCCGTCGAAGACAGATGTGATGATGCAGGCTGTACTCATTCCCATAGTACTTGCCACACTCCTCACAGCGAAGCATCTTCCGTGACGTGGTTAACTGGCGTCGATAGCATGAT